GATATTAAACTGCACTTTAAGCTGGGTACAAATAAGACATCACGTAAAATAAGAGACGGCCCCAAATAAACAGTGCCCATTTTACTGGCAGACGTCAAAGACCCATTGGGTAACTGAACTGGGCGAGCCGGAATATCACGAACATCAGACAAGAATTCCAAATAACCAGTCATATGATGAGAAGCACCACAGTCATACATCCAATCATATAAATTTCGCTTACCAGACGACTTACTGTCCTGTTTAGCAGAATTAACTAGATGAACAAGTTGAGACCATTGTTCATTAGTCAGTCCACTAAGAAGGCGGTCAGAAGAGGTCAGACCTGCATTAGTATTTGTTCCAACCGGGACTGCGGCTGTGGCGACATTAGCTTGGACTGGAGCTCCGCCGCTGCGTCCACCGCGACCGCGCCGTCCACCGCGCCGTCCACTACCACCACGGGGGTACCAGTCCGGGAAGCCAGTAATTTCAAAGCAGCTGGCCGCGAGATGTCCGGATTTGCCGCAGTGAGAGCACAGCCGCTGTCGGCCTCCGCCACCGCCCGCAGATCCGCCGGACTGTTCGGTTGAGGGACCCGTTACCGGCGGCACAAAAGCAGATGCTGGCAGCGCATGGGGAGGACCACCACCTGTGCGACCACCGCCGACAGTACCTTCAGGCCCGCGAGAGAACAAAATCGGGCCCGATCGAACAGCAAAGCCCGCAGCAGGAGCAAGATCATCCTCGGCAACGGAGATGGTGCGCATGCGTTCTTCTTGAATGCAAGTGGAATACACACGATTCAATGTCGGCAGAGGATCTTGGGCTAGTAGATGCGATCGAGTGGGACCATAGAGAGTCAGATCCAAGCCCTTGAGAAATTGATGGACTTTCTCGGTTTCTTGTTTACGATTCCACGCAGCCGGCAAATTACATTTACAGAGACCACAATTGCACATTGGAGGTTTATCGTAATCAGCCAATTCTTCCCAAATTTTTGAAATTTTGCCGTAGTATGCTTCAACACTCATGCCCTTCTGTTTACAGGACGCAAGATCGGATTTGAGTTGCTGAATTCTGGGACCATTGTTCAGCGTGAATCGTTCCTTCAAGGAAGACCAGAGGTCCTCGACATAATCCGGTTCGACGACTGAAGATCGAAGCGTGCTGTCGATTTTGTTCATAAGCCAGGATAACAAAAGAGAGTTGTTGGCTTGCCAATCCTCAAAAAAAAAAATCTTAAAAATTTAACCTGCTCTGATACCATGATAAAGCAGAAAGAGGAAGAAAGATATTGATCGAGTCATCAATCTGATGATCTCGTATACTGCTCTCACATTAATATATAAAACCAATTAGGGTTACAAGGGTACACAAACTTGCTCTACAAGAAACTCACTTACTAAGGGTATAAAAGAGAAAACCTATACTAATATAATATGTCATCAACAGTAACTAACTATACTCTACTTGTTAGTCTTTTTGCTTCAGGGTTCATATGTGGCTTTTCAATCATGCTAAAGCATTTGATAATTCATTTCTTTTATTTGGAATACACAGGAGGCGTGCAGGTTTTACTTGGTTGAGAGTGGTTTTGCTTTACTTGTTGCATTTCTTATCAACGTATCAGTTATCTCAGTAAGTGGTGCGGTTTGCAACTCACCAAATCTGAACTCAAAGGACCTCGAGAGCTGCAAAAACCTCGACTTAAATGAAGCCTCATTTTTACTCAAAGTACGTGATTCAATCCCGATGAAATGTTTTTTTTTGTTCCAATACCATCTTCATATTCAAACTTTTTGATGTTGATGCTTTGAGAAAATTTGTGCTTATTTTGCAGAATGTCTTAGGCAATTGGAGTTCAAAACTTTTTGCCATTGCCTTGTTAGCATCTGGTCAAAGTTCTACCATAACCGGAACATACGCCGGGCAGTATGTTATGCAGGTAAAAAGTTTACCAAATCTAATTAATAATTTCATTTATTAAGATCATTGCAACATACGTAATCTAGCCTAAATAGTCTTTGGAATTTGGTCATGCTTATAGCAACATGAATCCTATGCTTGCTTCTTTTTTTTTTTTTTTTCAATTTAAATGACTATATTTGTTGCCTTCGATGTATGATAGGGCTTCCTTGATTTGAGGCTCAAACCGTGGATAAGGAACTTTTTGACCCGGTGCTTAGCTATTGTCCCTAGTCTCATTGTGACAATTATTGGTGGATCTTCAGGGGCTGGAAACTTGATTATTATAGCTTCGGTAAACTTAAATTGTTGATACAACAATAGCTTTCAGTGTTAAAAAAATAAAGGAATATATCCTCGTGTGCTTAGTCATGAATAGTTCCTTACCTTCAGTTATATTCCTGGTAACAAGAATGAAAAATCTAAACATGTGATATGCATTCGCTACCTCCGTTATCTATTAGCTGTTTCTATTTTTGTAAGGAAGAAGAAAGAAGAAAATAATCATCTTCCATGGACGTAACAGCCAAAGAGATAACTTTTCTGTTATTAAAAGAAAGAACGTTTTTTGCTTCTTTCACTTTTGAATATTACCATTCAGCATTGAGAACCGGCTACCATGCTTTTAGTATACGAACACTAGAATTATTTATACAATAAAGCTTAATCGAAACAAGTTACCGTATTGTTTTGTGTAATTAATTAAGGCCTTCCATTCTACTTTTTTCTGAATTAGTATATGACTTGCTTATGTTGTTGCAGATGGTCTTATCGTTTGAACTCCCGTTTGCATTAATTCCGCTTCTCAAGTTCACAAGTTGCAAGGCCAAGATGGGGTTGTATGCTAACTCAATTGCTGTAAGAAATCATCACTTTTATCTTTGTCGATTTATAAATACATAAATGAATGCGGCTTATGGTGAAAGATATAAAACAAAAATAAAACTTAGTACTATATATAAACTTGGATTTGAAAGACGAAAAAATTACAAAAATATACACCAAATTCACGCTAAAGTTTAGTAGTAGCTCCCTAAGCTGCAGTGTATAATACGATCTTGTCTTGTAATTTGCAATACAATTGGTTGAGCCGAGCATAATGTGTAACAGTGGTAACATGCTTCTTTCAGATTTCAGCCACTACTTGGATCATAGGCTCCTTAATTATGGGCATAAACATATACTATCTTGCTGAGAAACTGGTGACTTCCCTTAGTCATAGCCATTTGAAGATTGTGGGCATTGTGTTGTGTGGAGTTTTGGGAGTTTTGGGTATGTTGATTTACGTAGGCAGTATTGCATATTTGGTGATTCGCAAAAACAGAGAGGGCTCCCAACTTATTATAGCGCTCACGGCCTCCCAAAGTAACCTGCCTAGAGAGGACATTGTTAATATGCAATTGCCTTCAAGGAGGACTTGATTAAATTAATACTGCTTGCTGATAATAATTTTGCTTTTCTTTGCTAGCATTGCCATAACATAAATAAGATACAACACTATAATGATATTTATTATTGTAGGATAAATATTTCATATTCGAATTTTTAAGTTTATGTAGAGTATGTTTAATATTGATAATTTGGTTATTTTCAATTATGTTAATTGTCAAAATTACTGATTAGCTAATATATAGCTACCTATATCTATCTATCTATTCTACTAGTGCATACCCCGTGCGATGCACGTGATACATATAATAAATCAATTATATCTATAGGACTTGTACGTCTAGACAAAAAAAAAAAAAATAA